CCTCCTCCTCCTCCTCCTCCTCCTCCTCCTCCTCCTCCTCCTCTTCCTCTTCCTCCTCTTCCTCCTCCTCAAGGTTTTCTGAGGAGGCCGGTTCAACGCCTCCCGGGGGGGCCGCTCTGAGGACTCTTGGGGGCCTCTTTGGGGCCTCTTGGGGGCCGCTTTGGGCCTCTTAGGGGCCTCTTGGGGCCTCCTGGTTCCTGGGGGCGTCGTGGGGCCGAGGGCCCGAAACGTCCGTTCGGGTACCCCGTCAGGGCCCCTCCTGGAACCGTCTTGCAGGCCTCTTGGGCCGTCTTGGAGGCCTCATTGGCCGTCTTGGGGCCGTCTTGGGCCCTCCTGGGGCTGTCTCAGGGGCCTTCCTCCTGCGATCGGCGTCGAGGTGCAGGGCACAGGGCCCTCGCGGCGGCGCCTCGGACCAGAGGAGCCCCGGGGCCTACGGCTGAGGGCGGGCCGAAGGAAGCAGGAGTGCACAGGGGGGGCCTTCCATGAGGCCCTCAAGATGCCTCAGCGTTGCCATGGCATGACTCATTTGCGTACGGGTTTCCCCCTCTGGGGGGGCCCGCCGTGACACCCGCTGCGGGATCAATAACCCAAATAACAAATCTGTCGGATTCAGCCCTGGCGCATTGCGTTGGGCGCCCTCTACAAAATTGCCTTCATCGGGTCGAACACACAATTTGCTGGCTGAGGATGCGGCCCAGGTAGCACAAGGGACGACACGCGATGGGAAGAGATCCAAACATGCTGTGCTTAGTGTTTACTGGACCCAAGACTGCAAACGTCGGGGTTGTCCAGGCCATCCGAACCGCGGCACATGCATTTCGCTATGGCGATGGCGCAGGAGACCAGAGGCTCACCTCCAGGACTCAAGCCGTGCTCAGCACAACACGCTCCAACACGAACGGAGAACAACACGCGAGTGCGGGACCGGTTGGCACGAGGTCGCGGCCCCGCAAAAGCAGACTGCAACCGAGGCTGGTGAAACAGATTGGGCGAAGACTGGCGCAATGAGAAACAAGCGATGAAAAAGGAACGTCGGGAAGTGGAGATCAAATGGGGATTCATCAGGAGGTTACCAGCTGTGCTGACCTCTGTCCTCATCCTGCCTTTTTCCGAAAAGGAAGAGGAGGAGGGGGAAGCTACCTCAAACGCGGTGCGCACGAGTGGAATTGAAGCGTCGAGCCAGGTAGACGGGCCATGACGGACTGTCCTCCGCGTGATGGCTTACATAAACGGTCACTTTGCGGAGACAGGCTCAAAGCAGTGAGGAACAAGCGCGGGAAGGTGGAACCTCTGCCTTCCTTCCGTATCGCCCTGCTGCCTGCTTCTGCACGGAGCGTCACGCACGGCCCTCCCCATCTGCCCTCGCCACTCTGGCGAAGGGATGTGAGGGAGGGGCAGGGGAGGGATGGGAAGGGCTGGGGATGGCACCAGGATGGCCCAAGACCGCTCCCGAAGACGGCGCAGAGGAGACCGCCCAAAACCGGCCCTCGATGGAGCGGAGCGATGAAATATCATTGAAACCTGTCGAAGCCGCAATATCTCCTCAGGCCCTCGAAACGGGTCCTGGACCTCTGGGGCTACCAAATATATCATAGTGTACAACTTTCATCGCCCGAAAGCGGATAGCGCAACTTACTTCGATGAACCCGCTTTCGATGTCTCTGTGCCGACACACCAAGCGCGTGCCAGCCACTGGTCGACACGCCAGTTGCGCACCAACCTGAAAACCCTCCACCGTGCCGCGAGGCACTGAGTGCAGTGCCCTCAGGGCCCTCCTCCGAGCGTGGCTGCCGTTGTGCGCAGCAGCGCAATGGAAGAGGGACAGGCGCCACCAACGAAGCCTTTGCCTCGAAGACTCCAGCCTGCGTCCTCCTCCTCCTCCTCCCCCGCGGGCCTAGAGCGGGCCCGGCCCGGAAGGCCGCCCTGCAGGTCTCTCGCGGCACGAGCCCCGCGGGGACCATCACCTCCCGCAGCCAGCAAGCGCTCCACCAGCGCTCACCTCCACGCCGCCCAAGCCCAGTGGCAGGGCGCCGCCTCGCAGCGCGGCCTCGGCGGCGCGCAACGCCGCCTGCAGCCGGGCCTCCTGCTCGAGGCCCAGCACGCAGTTCAGGTTCCTGCCCGTGAGGAAGGGGTCCTCCACGTGCAGGCGGTGATCCGCGGCGTTCGGCAGCAGGGTGACCTCTGGGCTGCCAGTTCTGCACCGACGGCCGAGCCGCACCGAGACGACCTCCCTGCCCCACTCGAATTCCCGCTCGTAGAACGCGAAAAACTGCCGCAGCGCCCCGGGCAACGGGGCCTGGCACTCCCAGCGCGGCGCGGCCGGCAGGCGCCCGAAGCCGTCGAACAGCTGCGTGGAGAGCAGGGGCAGCCCGAAGTCGGGGTGGACCTGCAAGAAGTAGATCACCATCAGCGCCAGCGCGTACGAGGTCAGGTTCCGGCTCTGCGCCCCGCAGACGCCCGCGGCCTTGGACCAGAGCTTCACCAGCAGCGCCAGGCCCCGCACCAGCGGGCTGACCTGCGCGTAAGCGCGCAGCAGCTGCGAGTTCCGCAGCGGCTCCGTGTTGTGGCAGGAGAGGTCCACGTCCACGGCCCCGTCGAAGCGCAGGCTCAGGACCGGGATCCTGGCCCCGGGAACGAGCCTGACGACCTCGAACCTTGGGCTCTGCGACAGCAGCGGCAGCACGCTTCCCTGCAGGACCCGCACCGCCGCGGCGGAGTCGCCCTCGCCATGGGCGTCCGACCTGTAGAGGGTGGCGT